ATGGGCACATTGCTTCTCTACCTGGTATCGTACCGGATGATGAATTAAGTCCAAAGAACACTAGGAAAAACAATGAGATGCAGAATATGCAAATGAGAAGAATCAGACCTTCCCACTAACTGCTGTACCAATAGGAAGGGGCCGAACTGTGACGTTTCCATTCATTGCCTCTTCAAGAACATTAGCAGATACTGTAGTCTTGATAGGCACACCTAGTTTGCTGAATGTTAAGATATGCCAAGAGAACGAATGAGTAGCAGAATGCCAATAGAGTAAAGACTAAAAATTATTCTAAAAGACCTTAACTTCACCTGAATAATGCTGCAAACATGGTATTGACTGTTCCCAGATTTGATAAATCAATTTCCATGTCCATGCCATCAGCGTCAAAGGCCTATCAACATGTAAGTAAATTTTGTTGAAAATACAAGAATCCAGACGCCAATTACGGCATTGGATGAGAGCAGAGACGAATGACATACTGGAAAATGAAACAAAACACATGCTAAAAAGAATTACCACACAAGATTTTTGTCAATGTGCTTTTCGTTGCTTTTAAATAAGATTTTACTAGCACACTATGACAGAAGATAAAGAACACATGATTCTCCAACAATTATAAGCATGTGCGTATTAATGCACATTAGTGGCACAATAAAAGCCTAAATTTGAAGCAGGAACAAGGAAGTACGCCCGACAAATTTTCTTGTGACCCATAACAATGAATTTTGAAATGAAACTGATAGAACAACGATGTAAAATAGATACGCAAGTTGTATTGATCAAATGGGAAAACACCAATACAACGACTGAGAGTTGATTCGTGTGAGACTCTCCCTAACCCCTTACCCTTAGACTTTCAATCACAAAATGCATAAGGAACCCAATATCCCATCTTTCGTTTATATAGCCGCTGTACAACCCAAAATAGGTTCGCCAATCCCCACGCGCCCAAAACCGTTTTCCAAAAGCCTATAGTAATAATTAATACTAGGTAATAATGAGTTTGTTAAAAACCCCTTTTCCCTTCCTTGCTCTGCCACTCAGATTTGATAAATCAATTTCCATGTCCATGCCATCAGCGTCAAAGGCCTATCAACATGTAAGTAAATTTTGTTGAAAATACAAGAATCCAGACGCCAATTACGGCATTGGATGAGAGCAGAGACGAATGACATACTGGAAAATGAAACAAAACACATGCTAAAAAGAATTACCACACAAGATTTTTGTCAATGTGCTTTTCGTTGCTTTTAAATAAGATTTTACTAGCACACTATGACAGAAGATAAAGAACACATGATTCTCCAACAATTATAAGCATGTGCGTATTAATGCACATTAGTGGCACAATAAAAGCCTAAATTTGAAGCAGGAACAAGGAAGTACGCCCGACAAATTTTCTTGTGACCCATAACAATGAATTTTGAAATGAAACTGATAGAACAACGATGTAAAATAGATACGCAAGTTGTATTGATCAAATGGGAAAACACCAATACAACGACTGAGAGTTGATTCGTGTGAGACTCTCCCTCACCCCTTACCCTTAGACTTTCAATCACAAAATGCATAAGGAACCCAATATCCCATCTTTCGTTTATATAGCCGCTGTACAACCCAAAATAGGTTCGCCAATCCCCACGCGCCCAAAACCGTTTTCCAAAAGCCTATAGTAATAATTAATACTAGGTAATAATGATTTTTTTAAACCCCCCTTTCCCCTTCCTTGCTCTGCCACTCTGATCATTCTCCAGGCGATGTTGTCTCCTACGTGTCCCTGCTGTTGTCTCCTGCAGCTCCAACCTCAGCCCTTGCATCTATCTTTCCGGTGATCGGCTTCCTCCTCCTTACATAAGCTCGAAATGGTGTATCACTACCCCCGGCCCGAAGACGCAGCTTGTCCTCAAGCTGGAATTCCGGAAATTGGTGAACAAAATCCTGAGCCAATTCCCATGTAGCCTCATGGAATGGTAAGCTCTTCCACTGGATCAGGACCTCGAGTAATCCCTCAGGCGAGTAGCGGTGATCAATGATATCCTCCGGCTCAACAATCACCTCCAGATCTGCGGTCAAACGAGGTGGTAGAGGTTGGGTTTCAAAAGCCGACCCAATGGCTTTCTTCAACTGAGAAATGTGGAACACTGGGTGGATTTTCGAATCAGTAGGCAATTGGAGTTTATAGGCCACTTTCCCAATGCGTTGGGTCACCTGGAATGGACCGTAGTACCGGGCAGCAAGTTTCTGACAAGTTCGGCGAGCCACCGAGTGTTGCCGATAAGGGCGAAGCTTCAAGAAAACCCAATCTCCCAGCTGAAACTCGAGCTCTCGACGTGATGGATCAGCATATTGTTTCATCCGATTTTGTGCTCGAATCAACTTCTGCCTTATGTCTATCAGCATCACATCACGTTCCTTTAGAGAAGCCTCTAAATCCCCATTCATGGTAGAACCAATAAGGGCGAAGCTTCAAGAAAACCCAATCTCCCAGCTGAAACTCGAGCTCTCGACGTGATGGATCAGCATATTGTTTCATCCGATTTTGTGCTCGAATCAACTTCTGCCTTATGTCTATCAGCATCACATCACGTTCCTTTAGAGAAGCCTCTAAATCCCCATTCATGGTAGAACCAGGTTCATACCTGATTAGAGCAGGAGGAGCGCGCCCATATACCACCTGAAATGGAGAAGTCTGTAGGGCCGTGTGGAAGGCAGTGTTGTAGGAATATTCAGCCCAGGCAATGAACAAAGCCCATTTTCTCGGATGATCACAGGCATAGCATCTCAAGTATGTTTCCAAACTCCTGTTTACGACCTCTGTCTGACCATCCGTTTGCGGGTGGAAGGCCGTGCTGAACTTGAGTTTTGTACCCGAGAGGCGGAATAATTCCCTCCAACAGAGACTGAGAAAAATCCTGTCTCTGTCTGAAACTATGGATGTAGGAAAGCCATGGAGCCTGACAATCTCACGGATAAAGACTGTAGCCACATCTACAGCCGAAAAAGGGTGAGTTAAGCAGATGAAGTGAGCAAACTTACTGAGGCGATCCACCACAACCAGAATTGCATTGAAACCGCAGGATCTAGGGAGTCCTTCGATGAAGTCCAGGGAAATGTCACTCCATATCTGAGTCGGCACCGGTAACGGTTGCAACAAGCCCGCCGGAGATAGTGTGGAATACTTGTTTCTTTGGCAGGTAGGACAAGCCGCCACATAACGCTGTATGGCTCCTTTCATGCCCGTCCAATGAAACAACGATTGAACGCGCTTCATTGTTTTTAAGACACCACCATGTCCTCCAATGGGACTGTTATGCAACTCAGCCAAGAGAATTGGAATAAATGCAGAAGTAGCGGGAATCGCAAACCTTTGTTTATATAAGAGTACGCCACCTTGTAGAGAGTATCCAGGAGGTGCCGACTGTGAGTCGCTGAGTTTGCCCAGAATTGGTCCCAAAACCGGGTCCTCTTCAACTTCCTTTGCCAGGGAAGTCAGGTCAAGGCAAGTAGGAACTGTCAGCGCCCCGATCCAAGACGTCCCCTGTATCGGTGCATCATGGGGAATCCGAGAGAGACCATCGGCAGCTTTATTCTCGAGTCCTGGCTTGTATATGATGTCAAAGTCGAACCCCAGAAGCTTGATCAGCCAGCGTTGGTACTCCAGCCTCACCATTCGTTGTTCCAACAAAAATTTCAGGCTTTTCTGATCTGTGTATACTTGGAACTTTCTGCCCATTAAGTAATGTCTCCACCTTTGTACAGCAAGCACAATGGCCATGAGTTCCCTTTCATACACTGGTCGCATCTTGTCTCTGTCTTTCAATCCAAAGCTGAAATAGGCCACTGGTATCTTCTTTTGCATCAGAACAGCTCCTACTCCCGCTCCCGAGGCATCAGCCTCGACTACGAAAATATCTGAAAAGTCAGGCAAAATCAACACAGGAGCTGAAATCATTGCGTGCTTGAGGCTGTTGAAAGCATATGATGCCGTATCCGACCACATGAAACTGTCCTTCTTCAATAAGTCGGTCAGGGGCTTGGCGATTGTCCCATAGTTACGGACGAAACGTGTGTAGTAACCCGTCAACCCTAAGAACCCACGCAATTCTTTCACCGTCTTGGGTTCTGGCCATTGCTGCATTGCCACCGTCTTGCTGGGATCAGTGGCGACACCGGCCTTTGAGATCAGGTGGCCGAGATACTCAATCTGTGGCTGGCCAAAAATGCATTTCTTGCGGTTAGCGAAGAGCTGCTGTTGGTGTAGCACCTCAAGGACTGTCTTGAGATGCGTCACATGTTCTTCCCAGGAACGACTGTAAATTAATATGTCATCAAAGAAAACCAATACAAATCGCCGCAAGAAAGGCTTGAAGATCACGTTCATGAGAGCCTGGAATGTAGCAGGGGCATTGGTCAAGCCGAAAGGCATGACCAAAAACTCATACAGTCCATCATGCGTTCGGAATGCCGTTTTGTGAATGTCGGAGTCTGCCATACGTATCTGATGGTAGCCCGACCTGAGGTCCAGTTTGGAGAAAATCTCAGCTCCATACAACTCGTCCAACAATTGGTCGATGATAGGGATTGGGAATTTATCAGGAATGGTAGCCCGATTTAACGCCCTATAATCCACACAGAACCGCCAGCTGCCATCCTTTTTTCGAACCAACAAAACGGGGCTCGAAAAAGAACTCTGGCTAGGGCGAACAATACCAGCCTTGAGCATATCCGAAACCAGCTTCTCAATCTCTTCTTTGTGAGCATGTGGATAACGATAGGGTCTGACTCGGATTGCAGGGGTTCCCTCACGTAAGTGAATAGAGTGAGCACGTTCTCGGAGAGGGGGCAGTCCTTCCGGCATGCCAAAAACAGCTTGAAACTCGTCCAAGACTGGAATCAATGCTACCTCTGGCTTCATCTCGGGCGAGGAGTCTGATTGTAACATGTTGATCTCAACCAGAAGCGTTGTTCCCCGTGATGTACGGTCTTCATCAATGACTTGAAGGAGACCAATGAATTCTATAACCCAGGATCTCCCTGAATGGTGACTTGGGTTGCGCCTTGAAAGAATCGCATCTCCAGCTTTGAAAAGTTGAACTGGATTTGACCAAGGGTTCGGAGCCACTGAATACCGAGCACCACATCAGCGCTGCCGAGCTCGAGAGGGAGAAAGTCGGCGACAATGGCCAAGTTCTGGACGTATAGGGTTACCGCTTGGCAGATCCCTTCCCCTTGAACCGTTAGCCCGTTGCCGAGGAAGACCCCGTAACCCGAGGTGTGAACCGGTCTGAGCCCTAGCTTTGTAATAACCTCCACAGACATAAAATTATGGGTTGCGCCGCTGTCCACGAGAACCACCACTCCCTGACGGCCGATCGTGCCTGCGACCTTGAAGGTTTTTGGAGAAGTGAGACCGATGACAGAGTTCATGGACAGCTCAGCCTGCTCTGGGACATCTGTAGGTAAAGGTGTCGATAGCTCCTTCAACTCCTCTTCACCCACCAAATACTCCACGTCATCTTTTACCAAAATAACCTGTAGTTCCTTGTTTTTACATCTGTGCCCCATAAAATATCTCTCACCCCAGCGAAAACACAAGCCACGTCGACGCTATTCCGCCACCTCATCATCACTTAAACGCCTAAAGGGATTAGGGCGATCAGCTTGTGGGCCCATAGGAGGTACCGTTGAGGCCGGTGCAGGGCGACGACTGTCCCCCAGACGGCTGGTGTCAGACGACTGTGTTGCCGGCACTGATACTATACGAAAAGTTCCCGAAGTCGACGAAGCAGAGCGAACAGACCTCCCCTCGGAGTGTCTAGGAGGAACCCCCGGTGGCTGAACAGAGCAACCGTCGAGACGTAAGGCGAGGTCGACAATCTTCTCAAAGCCCTCCGGGTGAAAAATATAGAGCAAATCACGAAGCTCGGCCTTTAACCCATGTCGAAAGGCACTGACGACCATATCCTCCGGCATCTCCGGCAACTGGGCTAGCAGAGCCTCAAAGTCCTGCAAATATTCCGCAACCGAACGCGACTGGCTGTTTCAAAGAAAATAGACGATCAGTAAAAGACCCTGCCCGCTTGTCGCCGAAACGCGACAGCAACCGGAGTTTAAAATCTGTCCAGTCAGTGAAATCCGAGCGGCGGCGCTGCCAATTAAACCAGTCCAGGACGGGTCCATCCACGCTCAGGGAGACGAGGCGAAGTTTCTCCTCATCAGTGCAGCCTCCATGTTCGAAGAATCTCTTGACAGACAGAACAGGCCAGAGCAAAGGGAGTGGAAGAGGAAGCTCCAAAGATCAGTGGATCGCTTAAGAGACAGCTTCTGTAGACAACATGCTCTTGAACTCATCTTTACCGAAGAAGGAGAGGTACGTCTCAGTTCTCAGATGTACATTGCTATGGACGAAATCGTGGAAGAGCCCGAATGGTTTCCCTCCGCCCGCCGAAACCGTTGACGCCGGAGGGGCCGGAGAGGCCTCCTCGTGACCTTTCATCCAGGCAACGATTTCCGACAGCATCGTCTCCATCGCATCCATCCTTTGAGAGTCCTTGCGCACCGCAGCTTCCATTGAATCCCAGCGCTCGGCAAGGGATTGTTCGAGCTTATCCATGCGTTGGGTGTTGTTGGTCTTAGTCATCGGAGATCGAGATGTTCTGATACCAAAGATGATAGAACAACGATGTAAAATAGATACGCAAGTTGTATTGATCAAATGGGAAAACACCAATACAACGACTGAGAGTTGATTCGTGTGAGACTCTCCCTCACCCCTTACCCTTAGACTTTCAATCACAAAATGCATAAGGAACCCAATATCCCTTCTTTCGTTTATATAGCCGTTGTACAACCCAAAAGAGGTTCGCCAATCCCCACGCGCCCAAAACCATTTTCCAAAAGCCTATAGTAATAATTAATACTAGGTAATAATGAGTTTGTTAAAAACCCCTTTTCCCTTCCTTGCCCTGCCACTCTGATCATTCTCTAGGCGATGTTGTCTCCTGCGTGTCCCTGCTGTTGTCTCCTGCAGCTCCAACCTCAGCCCTTGCATCTATCTTTCCGGTGATCGGCTTCCTCCTCCTTACATAAGCTCGAAATGGTGTATCAGAAACAGAAATCACCTCAAACCCTGAATTGTCATATTGCCTTCTCTTTTCTGGGTCAGACAAAATGCTATAGGAATATGCAACTTCCTTGAAAAGTTCAGAAGCTTCAGGATTATTGGCATTCTTGTCCGGATGATACCTATCCATTATTTAGGTTCATGACGGAAGATTCAAGTACAAAATACATGACAAGCTAACGGGAACTATAAATACTCGACTTCCAAAATAAAAAGATCAAGAATTTGAATTGCGATTCATAGAGCTGGTTTAATACCTTACAAGTGCTAGTGGAGACAATCAGTATAGTCAAACAGAGCAGAAAATTCCGACATGGAACTGGAAGATGCAACATAAACTACTCAAGTCATTAGGAATCGAAGCATGTACTCCATAGCCACACTATCAGAAATTCAATCAAACCACACTATGAATACTGATCTCAGAATGCATGTCAATAACAAAATCTATGAAGCATTCTCTGTCAGATCTCCAACAACTACGGCTTCCCAACCCAAACCACATCGAGCTCAAGAGAATCAAAAACCAAAGAATCGAGCTCCAATTTATCGGATTAGATAAACAGATCACCTTACGCATCAATGGAGGATTTGAAGAGATACTTACTTGAGAGCCAATTTTCGGTAAGCAGTTTTGATGTCCTAATCACTTGCATCTCTAGATATACACAGTACCTCGTACGGGTCCCGTCGAATTGCCGGAGTCGACAACCCATCCAGCTTCTTTGAACCCATTTCTCCGAAATTCCTATATCTCTCTTGCCCACTCCGACAGTATCTTCCCTGTCTTCTTCTATCAACAATGTCTCAAAGACGATAAACGATTCCAGGGAATCTTATCGGGATTTTTCAGATCCAACACCGACACCAACAACGGTGCAGATATCAAATTTCTTCAAACGAGAGATCGCGCGCAATCCCAATCAACATCGTATCGCCCAACCCGAGAAAAACAATAAATGAAGATCTAATCTCATCAAATTTGAGGGAAGTGAGATGAATACCGAGGAAAAAGACGAGGAGGCTGGGGTTTACGAAAATTTTTCCGAATTTTTTTCCCTGTGACGTAAGAGCTTCGTGGTTCCTTTCGTTCTTTCCTCACCATTCTAAATGGTCTGCAGCCGCATTACGTTATTCCAGCTTTCTCTTAATCTGTACAGACCTTCTTTTTCCATTTTCAAATTCCGATTTTAGAATTTTTTTTTTGAAAATTTTTTTATATAAACACCTCGATTTTATAAAATATATCAAATGAATATAAAAAATTTTAATTTTATTTAAAAAACGAATCTTGAAACGGTATGCTCCCGTTACAAGAGTTGCAAGGGGGAATGCCCGCGTCTCGTCGCAAGGCTCATTTTGAGTTGTGGCGGAATGCTTTCGAAACCAATTCACTTGAGTGAAATAGAAGAGAGTGGAATTTCGTGGGGAGAGGTGAAATCTTGCTTATGGATCCAAACTGGTGGTCTATCTATAATCATGATCAGGATGAAATTTGAGTGAAACTAAGTGGCTGAAAGACACTATAGGTAGTCAGTAGGGGTGGCCTGGTGGTAAAAGAGAAATTACAAAAATGACTTTAAATGTCATTTTTACTTCACGTCGTAACCCCACTTTAAAAAAAAAGACAACATCATGTGATAACTTTATAATAATATATTTTCAAAAATACCCTTCATTTTTTATTTATTCTTAAATTAAAAAAAATAAATTTTAGCTATCTCTCTCCTCTCCCGCTTCTCTCTCTCTCTCCTCATCCGCTCTCTCTTCTCTCCCGTTCGGTAGTCTTCACGTTCTCTTCATCTCCAGTCTTTTTTTTTACTAATTTGTTGCAAAAAAACAACATTAAGCTTGGGCATTTCATCGATTCAACACAGATCTGAATAAAAGGTAAGTATTGTTTCTAAATTTCGTTATTAAGTTTGGGCATTTGTGATTTATTATTTTATCATTTTGATATTTAAACCATATGAATATGTTTGAAGCAAAAATGACATATATATCAACAATACCATGATTCACGCTATTCAAACTGGTCAAAATCATTATATTTGTGAAATTCGTTAAAATGAGAGAATTCGAGAAACTGGTAACATATACATGTCGAAATGGTCAGACTGGTCATACTCCTAACTAGACATACTTGTCAAAATTAGTCAAACTGGTCATACTCGTGAAATTGGTCAAACTGGTCATACTCATCAAACCTGTGACATTTTTCAAGTGTATCATTTTATCACATTTTGTGTTTATTTTATACAGGTGTAATGGATGCAACTGATGAAAGGATGACGATTATTTATTATAAATCTGGTGGCTAGTGGGTAGTAAATTCGATCGGAGCATATGAATGGGAAGGAAAAGCTAAATATGCTAAAGCAGTGATATTCCCTCGTCATCCGATTGATTTGAGTTACAGTCGCCTCGTTGAAGAGTTATATTCTGACATGGATATAGACGGAGATAAATCCAAAATCAAGCTAAGTTATTTGCCTACAATAAAAGGATATGTTGAGCCGGTTTACATATCGAGCGACAAACAAGTCTTTGTTTATCTGATGGACAAATTCAACGGAGGAAGAAGCATGCTATATGTGGAGATTGAAAAAGTAAATTTGAGTGGGGAAGTTGAAGTTGGACATAAACATGGTGGAGAATGTTTTGTTCCAGATTTCGCCAGTGGTGTTGGGCCATCAAATAAACCACATGGGGTTGTGATTTGTGTAGATGTTGATAAACTCAATATTATTGCGAGTCCTGATCTCAAGAGTAAAGGTGCGAGTAATGTTATACAAATTATAAGTGATTCAGATTATGAACAGACTATTGTTTTAGGAGAACATGGAATGGATGAAGAACATGCAACTGTTTTAAGAGATGTTGATGGTGAAAGAGATAGGGATGGAGATGATGCAATCGATATGGCATGTGAAACCAATAAAGTTGATGGTTGTGTATCATTTGGCAATGATGTTGATGGCGAGAATAATTTGGCATTGGTAGTTATGGAGGACACATCGTTTTCTATTTCGGTATTCAATTTCAGTGATGGATTGAATTTTAGTATTGGCTACGAATTTGAAAGCAAGGAAGCAGCACAAGAATATGTACGGAAGGGTGCGGTTAAGGCATGTTTTGGTTTTGTGACAGTGAAGTCTACTAAGAAATTATGTTATTTAAGATGCAAGTTTCAAGGTTCAGGTTGTAACTAGAGATTGTGTATCGCAGCGATTTCGAATTCCACACGTTTTAGTGTAAGATCACATAATCTCATTCATACTTGCAGACCTGTAGCCGAAGCCGAAACAAGTACGAATGGTTCATCGATGTTGGTTAGAGATTATTTGACGGAAGAATTTTCTGGTAAGCTTGAAACTCCTACACCAAAACAGATAGTAGAACGGATGAAAGTGAAATACGGTGCGATAGT